TCTTTCTCTAGTTTTGCTTCTTTGCTCATTAAAATGACTGAAGTTACCAAGCGAAACCAATTTTTCTTCTCTTATTAATATTGGCTTAAACAAACACATTTAATTCATCAGAGTATTAAGGTCAGTCCTATATGTGATCTAAAGGTCTCTAGTGAAGGAAATGTTTGTTTTACACTAATATTAATTATTAAAGCAGCATTGATTATTCTGGACTTCATTATCTACAGAGGAGACCACGGTTAAACAAATGTAAAAAAAAACGTCCAGCGTAATTTGACGTTGTGTCCAATCTGGAGCTCGACCTGAAATGAGTTTAACAGCCCGGGTGTAAATAATAGAAATCTCATTAAAGTCTTTTTTTATTATTCCAAACACAGATATATAACGTCATTTATCATCGTACGGGAACACGTGATGACTTCAGACTGAGGAAATCTCCTCCAATCTGTTTATCCAGAGTGACTTAGAAATACAACATTATGCATAAGATGCTGGAAAAACAGTGAGATTTGACACACGATGCACATAAAACAGCAAAAAAAGAGCATGTGCTGTGTGAATGCAATCTCATAAATCTGCTCTCTCCTGAAACTGAAAACTCACCTTATTTATTTTCTCAATGCATGTTATAGAGCCAGTGTTATTTTAGTATCACTGATATACCATTATGGTTTTTATTAAAGGGGTCATATGATGCTGCTAAAAAGAACATTATTTTGTGTATTTGGTGTAATGAAATGTGTTTATGCAGTTTAAAGTTAAAAAAACACATTATTTTCCACATACTGTACATTATTGTTTCTCCTCTATGCCCCACCTTTCTGAAACGCGTCGATTTTTACAAAGCTCATCGTTCTGAAAAGCGAGGTGTGCTCTGATTGGCCAGCTATCCAGTGCGTTGTGATTGGCCGAATACCTCAAGCGTGAGACGGAAATGTTACGCCCCTCACCATACTGTGATGCCGTGTCCGGCCGGAGCAACAAGACAACATTAAAACCCATTATAGATGAGGCATTTGTTGCATCCAGTGGTGACATAATTACGGATTATAATGACTTATACTGTCTTTTTA